CCTCGCAGTGTTTGGTGATTGACGCTGAATCGGCGTGGCGCAGGGGGGCCGGCCTTGGCCTCTGCATTCCACTGCAAGAGCCATGGGAACGCTCCGCCGCGCTCCGCTCGACCCCAGGGGACCGGACCGAGCAACTCCAAATTCAGGGATTCAGGAACGTAACCTAACCTCGCAATGTGCTGCCAATACCGACAGAGTTTGGACGTCGTAGACAACTCCAGGTAGGTCGAAACAATGATGAAAACAGAAGAAAGAACTTGTCGGGTGGATTTTTTGCGTTGTTTTGCCACCCGACAACACTATACACTTCTGAAAGCGTGTTAGGACGACGCGTGGTGTGGCGCCATAACCTTTCGCGGACACTGAATCCGTTTCCACTCGATGAGGCCCGGTTTCGCCAGCAAGGGTGACTCCGGACGGTGTGATGCTTCCGTCGCTCTGTCTCTCTCGCTCTCACGGGGGCGCTCCATAGGGCTACAGGTGTGTGTGTGTGTGTGTGTGTGTGTGTGTGTGAGAGAGAGAGAGAGAGAGAGAGAGAGAGAGAGAGAGAGAGAGAGGGACATAGGCGTCGCGTGGGTCGTGTTGTGCGAAAAGGCTAGAGTTTCCCGGGGTGCCTTGCTTGCCTTTGCACACTGGCTGCCTGATGGCGCCCCGTCCCGGTCCGGCTGGCGATTGAGCAATTTCGGGGGGAGTAACCGTCCGATTAGGTGCGACCGTGCGGCGTTCGGCTTTCGATCGGCCGCCACGCCACGCCACGCCTCGTCACGCCACGCCTCGCCACGCCCTCCTAGAGACGCCGGAGCGCAATTTACGGCGCTTCCCTTTCATTTCTGCGAAAATAGTGTCGGCAGAATCGCTAAACACACAATCAGGTGGCGCGCAAATTGGGGCAGCGCGGCAGCAAGAGCAAGGCGGTGTGGAAAGGATAACCAGGGCGGCGCGACGCACGCACACAACGCACACACACACACTGGCAGTGAGCAGTCTCTCTCGCACTTGCAGAGAAGCGAACTAAGGAAATTCTCCCATATGCATTTAGGTAGGCGGGAGAAAGAGCGGGCGGGAGTAGCAACCACGAGGCTAGAAGAAAGGCGTATGCTTTTCAATTCTGCCAGTGGAATGTCAATGCAAAACCCACACAGTACAGCTATGTCTTCCCTTATAGCCTCTTTCGTAATCACCACATAGTGTAACACTGCCAAGCCTATACACTGTTTATTCCGACAGCGGTCGAGTGCGCGACTGTACTTCCGGGCCACGGCCATGGCCACGCCCCCATCCTGCAGTGGTGTGGACTTCGGCACCCCGAAGGTGTTTAGCCGGGTAATGAGTCGGTCCGGGGGCCCCGATGGGCTCGACGAGCTCATCGATAAGTAGGTCTATTATTTGTTTTACCGAGAGCCCCCCCTCCCACAGTGGGCCAGAAGACCGGCGGAGGCGGCCAAAACTCTCGACGCGTTTTGAGCTCCAGAGTCGCTAAATGGGACTCGAACCGGACGTGTGACCCCACCAATGGATTGCTCTTCGAACGAGGAATCCATTGGTGGGGTCACACGTTCAGTTCGAGTCTCATTTAGCGACTCTGGAGCTCAAAACGCGTCGAGAGTTTTGGCCGCCTCCGCCGGTCTTCTGGCCCACTGTGCCCCCCCCCCCCTTTTCCCCCCTGCAGCACCTGTGGCGCCGCCAAAAGCAAACAGTGGTTGAAGCGATTAGCGACCCTGCCGGGTTAGGTTAGGTTAGGTTAGGTCACGGCCTGCTTCATCTCCCCGGAGAACGCCACGTCTTTCTCGGCATTCTGCACGTGCGGCTCTCCAGATGACGAACGGCCGCCGGTTAGCAGCGTTTTTCTGCACTTTGCCCCAAATTGGGGGTTTGGCGACGGTCGGCCTCGCGGGCCCTGCGTGACCGGAGCGGAGCCGCGGAGCAGAAAGAAGCGGACTCGTTCCGAGAGTCGCACTGTCTCTCGCACGGAAAGAGACGCAGAGCGACAGAAACGGCTCCTAGAATCAGCAGTGTGTCCGATTCCGATTCGAGAACGGGCTCTACGACCTTTCCTCGCGCACTCTAAATGTTGTTCAGTAAAGATTCTCCATATTATGGTGAAAATGTTCCATATTACGGTGGTGCCGCTGACTGTAACATACCATTCAGAATTCACTAGAGATTTTGACGAATTTCGTTGGTATTATGGAGAAAATCTCTACCATATTATGTTGGTGCAGCCTTTCACCTTACTGTGCGCCGCGCTGCGCTGTCTGGCCTGAGAAAAGTTTCGTTCGCAGGCAACCCTGACCCTACTCAACGCGAAACCCGGTTGTATCGGTTCGCTGTCCGTCGATCCGGGTCGCGGTGGCGCTGGGGTCCTTGGCCTTGGCGCCGGCACTGCCAGCAGCCACCCCTTCTCACGGTGTTGCTGTCTGCCTCTCAGACTTTCCCAGGTTCCCATATCCTCCCATCTCACCGCCCCTCCGCCCTTCACACGGGCCGAGCGCTGGGCGTCGTGCATTGGCCGTGCGGTACGGTCGGTACGGTAGCCTGTGACCCTTTCAAGTAATCTGGAGGCCCTTCGTCCTTCGTGTAAGTGCTCAGCAGTGTGCGCAACGCCAGGCCGCATGGCCGCTTCCGGTGTTTGTCGATCGTTTTTCTGCTGTTGTTCTTTTTTATCGACACGTCGTCGATGGCCCCCAAGTGGCGATGTTCGATTCGATAGTCTCGATAGCGCCTCTCCGTACCCGTTGGCCCGTTGGCCTGTGGGTCTTGTTCCCGCCCCCCGGAAATTTATTTCGGGGAGCCTGCGGTCTGAATCCGCGCCGACCTCTCGTCGCCCCGTCTCTCTCGCACCCCTGCACAGTGGGCCAGAAGACCGGTGGGGGTGGCCAAAACTCGAGACGCGCTTTGAGCTCCAGAGTCGCTAAACAGGACTCGAATCGAGCGTGTGACCCCACCAAGGGATTCCTCGTCCGGAGAGCAACCCATTGGTGGGGTCACACGTTCGGTTCGAGTCCCATTTAGCGACTCTGGAGCTCAAAACGCGTCTCGAGTTTTGGCCGCCTCCACCGGTCTTCTGGCCCACTGTGCCCTGCGAGACGCCCCGTGAGTGCGAGAGAGACGGAGTGCGTCGGTTCGGAACGAGCGCGCAGGACCGGATTACGCGGAGACAGTATAGTGCAGCCGATGCCCGGCACGATAAGGGCCTGACCTAACACCCAACCAGTGCAGCACCAAGCACACTGATTTACAGCACGAGTGTATGGGAAACTGTTGAGAGGCCCGGACATTGGTCTAACCTAACCTAGGCATTGATAGGAGTCAAACCGAGCCATACACTGCGCAATGGGATCGGACGTTAGTCGCGAACCTAACCGGACCTCCACGAGGAGTACCCATGAGTACCCAAAGTGAACCTCGCGGCCTCGAAGGGACTAAGGGGCTAAATCGGGCAGGTTCGGCACCTGGGACCACACAGTAGCCACACACGCCCCCCCCCCCACACACACACTCACACACGCCGGCAAGCACTGCACTCAAGTGACACGGCACGGCGCCGCCAACGAAGACGACGAGGACCGCATCAACGCAATGAGGCTGAAGGGAGAGACAAAGGGCTGCCGAGTGTGGTGCACCCGAGGCAAGGCCGGCAAGGGCGGGGCGGGGCGGGGCGGGCGGGGGGGGGCGGGGCGCACACGCGGGCGGCCTGGCGGGCTGGCGGGCCCCCTCAAAAACAAACACAAATTAAATTAGCTTGTTGTCGTCGTGGTGGCGGCGGGGCTGGCAGGGCCCGCCGCGCCGTGCCTGGCGGAAGGCGGGAAGAGAAATTGCACTGACGAAAGGGGCTCTAGTCGAGTGGCGCGTCGTGTGGCGAATCGAGCGGCCTTCCGGCCTGGCTGGGTAAAGGGCGCGCGGCGCGGCGGCGCGGTGGCAGCGCGGCGACCTACCGCAGCAGTGCCAGCAGGAAGGGGTAGCCGCCGCTGCCGCTACCTGGCGGCACGGGCTGATTAATGGTTCGAATCGGCTAATCTTTTGGCGCCGGGACGATGAAGACGACAAGCTCGGCGATGAGGCAGGCAGCGCAGCGCAGCGGAAGGGAGGCGACACGACAGCGGCACGGCACGCCACGGCGCGGGCTGCCGCTAGTACCGCGTTTTTGCCAACTCTTTGGACGACCGCTCTGCGACAAGCTGGCCGAGTCCGAAACCGAAGAGGGGTGCACTGGGGGTGGCGGCGGCAGGCGCGTGCGTCCATCCCTGCACTGGCAACTGGCATCCTGGAATGTAGGTCAGGAGGCGGTAACTCGATCCAGGACAATAAGCCAGTCTAGCCCTTCCCCCTTCCCCCGCACTCCCGCAGGCACTGGCCGCCGCGGGAGCCTGGGGCAGCCCGGGGCCGATCGGACCGGACCGGCCTTATTGAAATGTACCACTTGACACCGCAGAGGGCGCGGCGGGGCGCGGCGTGCCCGCGGGGTGGCCCGGTCCGGGGCGGTGGGCCCACTGGTGGGCCCCTCTTGCCATTGGTGGGCCCCGCGGGGGACGGCGCGTCCGGGCGGGCCCAAGGGCGGCCCACTGCCGGGGGGCGATTGGTCCGGGTTGGTCGGGCCGGGTGATGATGACTTTAGGAGTAATTCCTTTCTGATCCGCGCCCGGCCACCTGTGTGACTGTGTGAGGCACACTGCTGCAGCACTGCTGGGCCTGGAAGGCCGTAGCGACCCGAGACCCGCATGGGCCCGCACTGCAAGAAGGGTGGTGGTCGTGCAAAGGCCCAGCATGATTCATTAATAAATCTCTCCTCCCAGGAACAAGGCACTCTTCCCTTGAGGCTCAACTCGTTTCATAATTTTCTGGGTTCAGCAGAGACACTGCAGATTTCAGCCTTTCGTTCATTGCGGAACGTTGCGAAATGAACACGAAATGACAAAAATCCCCTGGCAGACCCCTCATATTCATCAAGAACACTCAACATTTTGGCGTCTTTTGGATCAGAGTCGCAAGAACATGTTGAGTAATTTTTAAAACTTTTTTTTTATTTTGCTTCCGGTTTTTATAAAATACAAAATGGCGGCGGTTCAGAGTTCGTCCCTGGCGTGGCTGCTGAGTGCGAGGCCGGGGTTCACGTTGACGGGGAACTTGGCCCACCGCTCCATACGCTCGTTGTGGAAGCCCCTCCGCACGGACACGGGGCCGGGGCCGCCCAGGTACGCGAACTCCGTCTTGTCGTTGAGGTCCTTGACGGCGGGCCAGGAGCCGTCCTTGGTGGGGGCCCTGTAACGTCCGAACGTTGTCAAGACGGGTTCAAGCTCGAGGGAAGTCCAGCCGGCTGCGGTGGCGGTTGGGCTGCCTACCCACAGGGCGCACGCCGCGGGCCTTGCCACACAGTGGGCCAGAAGACCGGTGGAGGCGGCCAAAATTCTAGACGCGTTTTGAGCTCTAGAGTCGCTAAACAGGGCTCGAACAGAACGTGTGACCCCACCAATGGATTGCTCTCCGAACGAGGAATCCATTGGTGGGGTCACACGCCCGATTCCAGTCCTGTTTAGCGACTCTGGAGCTCAAAACGCGTCTAGAGTTTTGGCCGCTACCACCGGTCTTCTGGCCCACTGTGTGGCGCTGTCTCCGCTCCAGGACTGTGTACGTACCCCGTGGCCGCGAAGGTGGTGAACAAGTCCAGCAGCGTGCTGGAGAAGGCCATGTCCGACTCGGAGGGCGGCTCGGGCACGAACTCCGAGACCGAGAACAGGTACGGCAGGTCGTCGGCGTGGCAAACACCTGCAGAAGGCCAAGCAGTCGGTCAAGTTGGCGGACGGCGCCGCGGGTTCGCGAGCCCCGACGTCGGCGTGCTCGACTTACCGTACTTCGCCTTGGTGGCCTTGCTGGCCCCGAAGGCCGTGGCGAAGGTCCTGTCGCTGGTGTGGCCCAACTCGTAGAGGAACACGGGGGACTTGACAGAGCGCGCGTGCAGCTTCACGGACTCGATGGACGCGTACGAGAAGAAGGCGTCGGTCGTCAGCTGCGGTGGGGAGAGTCAAGGCGACATGGATCAGTCCATTTTCACGTTCTGCATGCCGTACTCACAAGCAGCGCGGCGTACTCACGTCGAGGAACTCGTCCACGGTGTCGCTGTTGATGGCCTTGTCGCCGAAGTAGGCCTGGCGGAGCTGGCTGAACTGCTTGTGGTTGAGGCTCTGCGGCAGGTGGTCGGTGAACAACATGACGGCGGCGCGCTCCGTGAAGTGCTGGTCGAAGTCCGCCAGCGCCGTCTCGTTCTCGGCGATGGCTGCAACAGCGAACGGTCCGTCAACGCGAGGTTCACGAAGAGAGATACGGAGCGACGAAAACGACTGTCGCACAGTGGGCCAAGACGGCGGTGGAGGCGGCCAAAACTCTAGACGCGTTTTGAGCTCCAGAGTCGCTAAATGGGAATCGAATCGAACGTGTGACCCCACCAATGGATTCCTCGTTCGGAGAGCAATCCATTGGTGGGGTCACACGTTCTGTGCGAGTCCTGTTTTGCGACTCTGGAGCTCAAAACGCGTCTAGAGGTTTGGCCGCCTCCACCGGTCTTCTGCCCCACTGTGTGTCGGCATCAGTCCGTAAGGAAGCCAGACACTCACGCACGACGACGATGCAGCCCTCGTGGGTGGTGACGCCCGTCATGACGGCCACGTCGTGGGCGCCGCCGTCCGCGTACACCTTGGCGGGGTGCTTGTCCAGGAAGGCGCCGGGGCCGCTGGGCTCGGCGGTGGGCCGGAACAGCACCATGGGGTGGTACAGCCACTGCAAGAGCGCCACGTCGCCGCGGATGATGTCCTCGAAGGGCTTGGTGACGAGGCAGTCACGCAGCGCCTTGCTGCAGTGCGTGGGGCAGCCCAGGGCGGCGGCCAGCTTGTCCGTCTTGGCGCGCGCGCGGGCCGGCTCGTAGAACGCCCAGGGCGCCAGCGCGGACCCGCTCATCTGGATGGCGCGGTGGAAGAGTCCTGGACGCGGGCACGACCAGGCCGTCAGTCGAGTGCACTACACCAACCTGACAATCCGACGGGACCACAGTGGGCCAGAAGACCGGTGGAGGCGGACAAAAGTCGAGACGCGTTTTGAGCTCCAGAGTCGCTAAACAGGACTCGAACCGAACGTGCGACCCCACCAATGGATTCCTCGTTCGGAGAGCAATCCATGGGTGGGGTCACACGTTTGGTTCGAGGCCTGCTTTTTGACTCTGGAGCTCAAAACGCGTCTAGAATTTTGTCCACCTCTACTGGTCTCCTGGCCCACTGTGGGGACGCTGTGCGCTTGCCTTTGGCGAGCGGGGACAGCGCGAGGTAGTGCACGCTGGCCGCTCCCGCACTCTCCCCGAAGATGGTGACGGAGTCGGGGTCGCCGCCGAACGCGCGGATGTTGTCGCGCACCCACTGCAGCGCCAGCACCATGTCCTTCATGCCCTGGTTGCCGGGCACCGCGTCGTCGGCCGTGCTGAGGAAGCCTGCGACAGAGCGGAGCGTCAAGCACGCCACGCACTGGGCCAGAAGACCGGTGGAGGCGGCCAAAACTCTAGACGCGTTTTGAGCTCCAGAGTCGCCAAACAGTACTCGAATCGAACGTGTGACGTGTGGATTCCTCGTTCGGAGAGCAATCCATTGGTGGGGTCACACGTTCCGTGCGAGTCCTGTTTAGCGACTCTGGAGCTCAAAACGCGTCTAGAGTTTTGGCCGCCTCCACCGGTCTTCTGGCTCACTGTGCCACATGTGTGTCTGTTTGGTCGCGTCAGTGTTCTACCGACCGAGCGGGCCGAGGCGGTAGTTGAAGTTGACGAACACCACGTCGCGGTCCGTGACGTACTCGGGGCCGTAGATGCTGCCGGCGCCGGTGGTGAAGCCGCCGCCGTGGACGAACACCATGACGGGCAGGGTCTTGTCCGCCGTCAGCTGCAACAGGGAGACCTCTTAGCTCTCTCGCTCGGCCACGCTCGGCCCGGAAGCCCCATCGAGTTTGAGTGCGAGAGAGACAGAGCGACGAGGTCCTTGCTAGGCCCTGGTCGGTCCGGAAGGTGGCGGGCGAGGTCCTGCGTGCTTCAGCCGGACGCCGGCAGTCCGGCAGGCGCCGCCAAGAGATAAACAGTGGTATTGCTGAGCTGTTATGTCATCCGGCACCGGTCGGCACGCGACACGCTACAATGTAGTGGTTGTGTGTGTGTTTTTGTGTGTGTCGCCGTCTTCGCGGACTTGCGGCAAGGGCCTCCGCCTTACCTTGGGGTAGTACACGTTGAGGTACAGGCAGTCCTCGCTGCCCTCCACGACGTTGGGCTTACTGAACGCCCTCTGGGGGCACACGGGGCCGGTCTTGTCCGCGACGAGGACGCCGCTCCAGGGCTCCTTGGCCATGGGAGCCTGCGCAGAACGACGGGGTGTGAGTTGCGCTGCTTTGCACAGTGGGCCAGAAGACCGTTGGAGGCGGACAAAACTCTAGACGCGTGTTGTGCTCCAGAATCGCTAAATGGGACTCGAACCGAACGTGTGACCCCACCAATGGATTGCTCTCCGAACGAGGAATCCATTGGTGGGGTCACACGTTCGGGTCGAGTCCTGTTTAGCGACCCTGGAGCTCGAAACGCGTCCAGAGTTTTGTCCGCCTCCACCGGTCTTCTGGCCCACTGTGCTTTGTCTCGAGAGAGACAGAGCGGCGAGATGCGACTCTGCGGAGGAGGGAAGTCCTGACCTTGAACCGCAGCTCGCCGACGGGGGGCTTGGCGAAGGGGATGCCCTCGAAGGCGGCGACGGCGCGGCCGGACGGCTTGGAAGCCACCCACTTGCCCCGCAGGCTGCCCGCCGCGACGCGCGCCTCGGGCGCCGCCAGCTCGGTCTGCCCCGCCAGGGCGCAACCCGCCAGCAAGGTGGCCGCCAAAACGCCAAGCATCGCGGTTCCTGCCGGCAGAGAGACGAGCGGCGTTCACAAGGATTCCGAAGGATTCCGAAGGATTGCGAAGGACCGTTGCTGTCTCTGTCGCACTCAAGGGGAAGTAACTCCAGCCAAATTTGAACACTGAGATTCATCAAACATGTAAAATTCACTACAATTCATTAAAATTTATCAAAATTTGACTGAATTTCATCGAAATTCGGCTAAATTTCATTGAAGTTCGACTGAAATTCATCAAAATTCGACTGAAATTCCCCGAAATTCGACTGAAATTCATTGTATTTGTACACCGAAATCCACAGTGATTTCCCCCTGGTCGCACTCATGGGACGTTCAGTGAGGGCGCGAGAGAGACAGAGCGAAGAAACGATCCCTCCAACTCGGTGAGCAGGTCCGGGGTGGCGGCTGGAGTATCCAACGATCGGTTATCCGGGCTGGTCGAAGTCTTATCGGCGTGATGCGTGGCGCTGCCGAGTCGGGGAGACAAAGTCGCGATAAACCGGTCGAACGAGGCGCGATACACCCAAGTGTAGTGGACTGCCGAACTTGGCTCTTGGCGGGTCGGAGGTCGAAAAGAAACAATGTTAAGACTGTAGTACAGCCCGCGGTCTTGGCGCTTCGAGGCAAACAATGATAGCGCCCCTCAAGGCCGCGTCTTGAACAGAACAGGTCGAGGTAGGGGGCTAATCACAGTGCTTCCCTGTCCCAACGACTTGCAGGGTTGAATTGAGAGGGTGCCGACCGCCGTCGCTGGATTGTGAACCGGCTAAACCTTGGAGCAGCGGTCCAGCGCGGGGTTATTGATCCATCGGTTCATCTCTCACGATATAGTGTCGCACGGCAACGACCTGCGGCGACTATGTATGTAGTAGCACGTGTGCCGAAAAGATAAGCACCTGTTGACACTGCGCGGGTCCTCGGCGAAGCCCAGGACCAGCACGCGACACCAACCAAAACAGGAAGGACCCGCTGGTGCGAATAGTAGTCCGGAGTGGCGCCTGGCGCCTGCCCCCATTGGTCAGCGTCGGCCACCCCCGCAGCCAATCAGTCGTTTCCGTCGCTCTGTTTCTCTCGCACTCGTGGAGCGTCCGTACAGATGCGGAAAAGACAGAGCGCGACGAAAACGAGCTCTGATTGGCCGCTGCACTGCAGAAGTGACCCGGCGCCAAGAAGCCGGGCCACTGCTGGCGCTGCTGGCCACCGCCGCGCGAGGAGAACTCACCCATGGCCTTTGCGTTTGTGTCCGGTGGGTCCGGTCGGTCCGCCGCTGAGCGATGCCCACTGTCCACTGCGACCTTCCCCGCCCATTCAAGTCGCTTTTGCCGCTGAGGTCCGACGAGACGGGGCGACCGGCGAGACAGACGCGGGGCCCACGGCGTCGCTGTCGCGCCGGGCCGCCGCCAGGGCGCGGTGCTGTGCCCGCTGTGCGCTGTGCCGCGCCGGGGGAGCGCTATCTCCATCTCTCTCTGTCCGACTGATTGCAGTGGGTCCTCCAGATTCACTCGCTCATTATCCAGACCCAGCAGACTGATTCCGAGAGTCGTCTTCGTCGCTCTGCCTCTCTCGCACCTGCGGCAAGAAACGCCGCGGTTCTTCTCCGCGAGTGGGGGCCTCGCCGGACACCCACGGAGCACAGTGGGCCAGAAGACCGGTTTAAGGTTTAAGGATGGACGTTCAACAAACGGCTCTGTCAAGCATGAGCCTCTCACTGTTACTTAGTGAGGTTGATGGGCAACACAGGGGGCCCTTAGTCCGCAGAGTGCGGCTCCGAAGAGCCACACTCCGCTGCGCGCGTACGAATGGGGTGACTGTCAACCTTGTGGTACAGTCAGGGTTTTAACCCACCCAATCTACTGCCCGCGCTGTACCGTCGTCGCAGCAGCCGAGGGTGCGTGTACTCACAGACCGCTCGTCCGGCGCCTCAGGTGTTGCACTGCCCCGTTAGGGGCAATGCGGGCGTCCTCCCGAGGGGACCCCCTGATTGGTTGTGGGAGACACCAGATTTCATAGGTCGAAGGCCGAAGCCGCATTCCCATCCATGAGGTGCCTCCCTTTAGGAGGGGTACCGGGTTTCACGGGGCGAAGGCCGTAGCCGCATTCCCATCCACGCGGTACCGCTCCACTTTGGTTCGTTTTTGCCACCATGAGATGACAGGCCCTTATCACCGGCGGAAAGACACGTGTAGTCACATGACTATCCTTAGCCAAACGACACAGGGCATAGCACCCTTATCAGGGGTACCGCGGGTGTGACTCCCGGGCGGTCAGGCCCGGCACCCTTTTTGCGGGTCGGGAAACACCAAACTTCACGGGTCGAAGGCCGTAGCCGCATTCCCATCCATGAGGTGTCGCCCTCGAGTCGTAAAGTTTAGCTGTAAGAGAGTATTAAGCACACTACACCAATAATTTGATATCACAAGACCGGCTGCCGACCCCCACCCCACCGCCATCAGGCCTAGGCTATAAGAGTTGGCGAGGGCAATCCACCACGACGCTGCCGAATCCGGCGCGCAGAAAGTAAGAGTGCATGGCCCGCTGATCTGCAAGGAAAGGACATGCGACAGGCAAATGGGCCAGCGCCCGCCCCACTGAGGCCTCGGCCACCTCCGTCACCACACGCTGGAAGGGGAGGAGGGCGGAGGGGGCGAGAAGGCAATAGACAAGGAAAGAGCGCCAGCGCGAATGAGAGAGAAAGACGGAGCGAGCGGAGTCCCACCCCACCCACGCCTGGACCACCGCACACGGACGAGGGGAGGGGGGGGGGTGCGAGGAACAGGCCTGGTCGCCGGACTAGGCCTAGAGCTGTAAATGAGCGTGAAAAAATACAAAACAACGCCGGGCCCCGACGCCAATGCTGCCTGCTGCCGGGTGGCGACCCTCGTTGCCATGGCAACAGAGACGTGCGTGGTCCGCATCGACACGGACCGGGAGGGAACACCACGCTACTACAAACGCTGTACAAATGCAAGGGGAACAATCAGCCCTGACGCCCTTATTGGGCTACTCGCACACCACACGGACACGGCTCTCGGTGACACACCCCAGTGCCTGTAAGCCTAGCCCTAGCCAATGCCGCGCGGAGGGACCAAACCTGCAAGGGGATGCACTTGATGCCCTCTCACCTGGTGCTGCACAACACTCATGCCTCCGCCACTGAACATCCGTACTGCCCTTGTACACGTCATACGTCACCAATCTGAGCGCCTCGCTGATCCGGCCTCCTCGCACGAACTTGCAGGGCCCGGGTGGCGTGGCCGTCGCCTGGCCCCCCACCCCCGCTCCAGCCAGCAGCTGCAGGGTCGCTGCGTAGGGACGCCGGGACGCCACCAGGAGGCACACAAAGACATTGCCAGTCTTTCGTTGATTACTCGGACACCGATGCACTGAATCACTTGACACTCGCACAGCACACGCACTACTGCAAACCACATCGCCTCGTACCAAACACAAACTTGAACTCCCACTTTATACCACCCCTCGCGGCCCTCGAATACGGAGCTCCCCAAAACACAACCGCTCGGCAGCATGGCCGCCGCCGCCGGTCCCCCCCAGAAGACCGGTGGAGGCGGCCAAAACTCTAGACGCGTTTTGAGCTCCAGAGTCGCTAAATGGGACTCGAACCGAACGTGTGACCCCACCAATGGATTGCTCTCCGAACGAGGAATCCATTGGTGGGGTCACACGTTCGATTCGAGTCCCAATTAGCGACTCAGGAGCTCAAAACGCGTCTAGAGTTTTGGCCGCCTCCACCGGTCTTCTGGCCCACTGTGCGGAGCCTCTCTGTTGCTCGGTGACGATGCCATGTCCCCCGTCGCACTCGTTGGACGCCCCCCAGTGTGAGAGAGAGAGACAAGTGTTCGAAATGGCTCGGCCGAAGGACCTCGCCACTCTCGCCACGGCCGCGTGTTGCCGCGGTCGTGACCAACACCTTGGCCTTGACGATCACGCACCGCGCCTCGCGCCTACTGTACCCTTAGCCTGGCGGCCAGGGCGGCCAGGGAGCCGTTGGCCTTGTGCTGCGGGGACCGGCCACTGCTATGACGGAGCACTTTTTGTAGTAAACATTGGAGGCTCTTTGAACCGTGGCCGCGCTTCGCTTTTTTGCCGCGGCGAACACATTATCGCTGGATAAGCGTATGCAGCTTCGGCGCGTGCGGCGGGTCACACTGGGGTCGAGGGACGACAAGTGGCGTGCCGTCGTGCCCCGCAGGGCCCGGCAGGCCCCGGCAGGCCCCCTTGCACTCGTGCAGGGACTGCAGGACAACTCCTTGCCGCTTGGGCCTGGCTGCGGGAGCTGCGGGGTAGCGCCGGCAGTCCCTGTCGGAAGGGGGTCTCTCCATCCGCCGGCAGTCGGCAGTGTGTTGACCTCGCGAGGGGGTGGTTGTTGGCGCGGGGCGCCCTGGCTGCGCTGCCTGCCCGGCCCGCGGCCCCGCCACGGTCCCGCTTCGATTCCCCTCCAATAACCGCCGCCATGACCTGCCCTGCCGTGCCTGCCGTGGCCACCGTGGCCCAGCATCTAAGGCGACGAGCGGGCCGGGCGCCGTGCGGGTAGGCCACCCATTCGACGCGCAGCTGCGAACGCGCGGCGCGCGACGCGGGGAGTCCTAGCGTCCTAGCTCCCAGCGCCAAGGACTCCAAGTTCGAACGCGTGACCGGCCAACCTGGTACCCGTGGCCCTGCCGCCTGCCGCCGGGACTGTAAGCGGCTGGGCCGGCACTGTACACTCGGCAGCAAAAAAACACGAATCGGTGTGCGAGAGCGACGACACGGTAGAACACTGTCCCCCCGGCTGGCGGTTGTTCAAGCTCCGCCGTCTAGAGGACCTCAAGCGGCGGATGGTCACGCAGTTCATGACGCCATGGCGGGGCCAGAATGTAGGCAACCCGGTCGCAGTTTATCAAGCTCCGCCGTCTAGAGGACCTCAAGCGGCGGATGGTCACCATGGTCACGCAGTTCATGACGCCCCTGGCGGGGCCTGAATGTAGGCAACCCGGCCGCAGTTGAATCCGCCTGAAGGGCGGTAAAAGTGTGACATCACACTCACACACAGAGGGAAAATTCATCGTAAGACCGAGACCCCTTCGCCGACGGTGTTGACTGTACCGCGCGAGCATAAATACCCACCGAGTGCACCAGCCTGAAGAAGGGTCGGTCTTTGGCAGAGTTCCCGCGGAAGCTTTTATATCCCCAGAAAACACGGCGCTATTGTACCTGTCGCTGAATGACCGGGTGCGCACATTCAATAACACCGACGATATCTTGATTTTTTTTTTTCCAGTGGGCCCGTGCACTTTGGCGGCAATTGCCTGTTGCCGGTCGTACGAATGATGGAGGCACGGAACTGACTAATTAAAGTGGCCCGCATTGTAACCGGCGCGCGCTGCCCGGCGCTGCCCGGCGCTGCCCGTGGCGCGAGAGGGAAGTGCCTGCTTTCGAGAGGCCTCACCACACAGGCACTCACTCGGTGCCGGCGCAGTGATCACTACAGTGATGCAGTAAAGTCGCAGATCGATCGGTAGATTAGATTGCAGGCCGTCCACGCCACGAGATGAGGTAGTGAGAGGGATTTAAGAAATTAGGGCAGGGCTTTTTTTGCCCTGTTCGTGCATTTCGGTCTATCTGCTGCGGCACGCCACGCGCGGCTAGGCTGTGCGTGACTGTCTTCGGGACGGCTGCACATTTTGCCGCGTTTTGCTGCACCCAGCGGTTTTGGCGGGATGTCATTCTGCTGACTCGAGTGGCATTCAATTTCCTTGAGTCAGTTCTCCTTTCGCCACCGACCGTTCGAGCACTTCACTTGGGAGTCTCTAATAATCGAGCCCAGCCCACCGGCCCCAACCGGCCCACCGCTCACCGCCGCCAGCCCCACCCACCACCCACCCCTCCCCCACCCCCCAGCGGTGGGTTGGGCAACGAGAGTCACGAACGAACGACCCGAGTCCCTAGCAGACGACGCGAGCGGTTGTGTGAGTGTACGTGTGTGTGAGCCCGATTCGGGTTAGTTTACTTAGCGCCGCCGTGATCGGTGGAATCCCTCTGCCTCCGCCTCGCATTGGCTGGGATTATCAACTCTTTGCCCGTTTTCTCTGCCGCAGTGCTCCGCAGTGTAGCGGCGAGGGGACGTCGCCCTCCCTCCGCCAAGTTCAAGAGGTCCTGGTCCTAGGTCCTGCCGAGGGGTAGCCATAACCTCAACATGCTGTCGTCAATTGTACCGAGGGCTGCGCTGTGAGTATTGTTCCCTGTCGACGATCCTCTACGTCGGGTTGGCTTCTACTCTACCACCTGGAAGTGCGTGCTTTGCAACACCTGGCAGAGCTGTTTGGACGCTGTCACTAGTCTAGTAATGGAACTGACAGTGTACCCTGTACAGTCAGGCTCAAAAGCTAAAAGCGCTCGCCTTTGACAGCATTTGCATGCCTGGTTTGCCTTACTGGCTATCTCTGTTTTTGAATTACTACCATAGATTTATTTTTTGTATATTAATTAAATTTTCTATGTTTTTTTTTCACTTAACTTTTTACAGCTCAAGCAGCCACTGCAGCAGGAATGGGGCACTCCAGTCATTATGTAGAGTTGTCTGCGGCGATCCTTCCAGCCACTTCCAGCTCACGAATCCTCCTCGACGGTGCTATCATGAAGTGACTGGTGACATCATCTGCCCTTCGATGGTTCAGGGTATCGACCACCTGAGAGATCCCCGCCTTAACAAGGTAAGATCTTCTCGTTCCCATACAATTTAATCCCTACTTCAACGTTTGCAAACATGTTCGGTTGTGGACTGCCCGCACGTAACGCATTTACCATTGCTACTGTCAGTACTGTGCAGTGCAGGCATTTCCTGTGTTTCCTGCTCCTGCGTTTATCCTTGCCCTTCCCACCCACCCCTACTCCTTGCCTTTGGAGGGGTCTGTCCACCTCTTGTGTTGTACACTCCCCCATCGGCACTGGGCCAGCATCCCTCTCTGGTCTGGACCACCTTCATCATCCCCGCTTGAATAAGGTGTGATAAAAAGCAAAAGCAACATTTCTACAGCGTGTCACAATAATAATTTTTTTTTCAACAGGTATCAATAAGGCGGAAGTCTTAAGACAACTGATGTAACTTTTTTATGTTTTCTTGCAGGGCCTTGGCTTCACTTTAGAGGAGAGACAAGCCCTGGGAATCCATGGTTTAATGCCGCCAAAGTTTAGAAGTATGGAAGTTCAGTTGAACTTGTGTTGGAAGTCTGTGTGCCGGTACAACGATGCCATCAACAAGTTCCTGTACCTTGCTGAGCTTCAGGTCACATATTTTTAAAAAACATTTTGTATTAAATGGCTATTCATTTGTTTGAAATTTGTTTGCTTGTTCATCAAGATTTTGAAAAATATTTCTTTTACTTTCCCAGGATCGAAATGAAAGACTCTTCTTCCGCTTACTATCAGAAAACGTCGAAGCTCTGATGCCTATTGTCTACACACCAACTGTGGGACTTGCTTGCCAAAAGTATGGTCTCATTTATCGTCGACCCAGGGGACTGTTTGTTACAATCCATGACAAGGGCCATATTTATGATGTCCTTAAGAACTGGTAGGTATCTAATAGAAAGACCTCTTTTGGATGAAATGTCAATACGACATGCTTTAATTAATCCAAGTCTACATTACCTTGTACTCATTGTGATAGACAATAGTCCATTTCATAATTAATTTACTTAACAATTACTGTTGAATGAAACTTTAGAATTAGGAATTAATGAATTGCCTTTAGATTTATCTCATCAGTATCTTACAGTGTTCATCTCAAGACTGCAAACACACACTGTTTTTGGCTTTAGAAAGCCAAATAATTTTAGAAAAAGATTTTTTTTGAAAGGAAAAGCTTATCATGTAGTTATCTTGCTTTGACAGCAATACTGAAAGACTCCACTCGTCTGTAGACCAGTCGTGCACAATAAGATATACTACTCCTCATGAAGGCAGTTCTGATCACTAACTGGTTGATAATGCATATTGCACTTATTATTTTGGTTCTAGCCACCTTGGCACTTTTGTCAAAATTGTTGTTATACTTTATCCAACCATTCTCAGATTTAAAAGTTTTAGGGCGAAAGGCTAAGTGCTCATTGCGAGGGTGTGGAAGTTTCAATTGACAGAGGTTTGTAATTTCTACTTAAGGAATTTTGTTTGGTCTTTTCAAGGGCCCGAGTCATGTACTTGCACTTTATCTTGGATATTTGCAATGTTTACTTCTTAATCCAAATTATTCTGAATGATAAACTTGTCCAGTGTAATAGAGTTGTGGATTACCAGGAATTGCATGATAGACTGCTTCTGGAACAATGTAATGCGTACCTAGAAGAGTCATGTTGTAACCAAAATAACACCAATTTGGCTTTCTGCTGCCAATTTAATTCAAGAACTAATATACAAGCATGCTAGCTTTGCTCTTCAAGAAGCTTGTTGCTGCAGTCTTCTTTTCTTCCTAAAAGAATTTAGTTTAATTTTGATCGATTGGGTCAACCCAGATTTAAAGCTGCTCTATGGAACCATGGATGGTTTCAGTTCATTCCAAGTTTGCGTGCTATGTTGCATGTTATTTTGGTATTTTTGTCTGAACTCCCTAAAATTATTCTCTTTGTTCTAACATCTGGAACACTTTTTTCATTAACTTGAAATGTTAGAGCTTATTTGTATCTTGTTTCTTACTTGTTGTTTCATAATGGATGGATTTAACTTTCATCCACCTGTCAGCAGACAGATGACAAGTGCCTTTACTATTTTTGAATTTGTTTTCAATAATTTTATACTACTTCTTTTTTTAGAGAAACATGTTAAAAACATAAATTTTATAAAAGTAGGAGACAATATCAAGTCTTTGATTTATTGGAAGTGAATGAATGGGATCTTGTCCGCTTCAGGAAGGCAGAGACTCTTGACATGTGAGGCATATAGCCAGGCGGCAAAGGTGACGGTTGCTTGTTGGTGCTGTTTAGGCCCGAGCCCGACGTCCGCGCGATCGTGGTGACGGATGGCGAGAGGATTCTGGGTCTGGGTGACTTGGGTGCATGTGGGATGGGAATCCCAGTCGGCAAGTTGGCCCTGTACACGGCATTGGCCGGCATCAAGCCTCACCAGTGCCTCCCCATTACTCTTGATGTGGGCACCAACAACCAGGTGGGCAAGCCGTCTCAAGTCGACTTTATTTTTTTGCATTATAGATAGTTTCTTTCACTTTTTGTTTTGTTAAAAACACCATTATTATTCTGCTGTCTTTCACTGTTCGCATGATTTTGACCGGACTGCCGAGGTGCAATTTCATTCTAGACATGAAACGGAGAGGGTGCCACTCTTAGTAGGACTCTCATTTTGTTTTCTTAGTCCTAAAGGATTTCTTGCATGCTACAAATGCTATTGATTTACAATGATGGGTCTGTCTGCTTGCTTGATGGCGCATTTTCAGGATTGGTTAAAAGTAACTGATCAAATGACTCTGACCAAGCCACATTTAATTGTGGAAAATATTGTAGTGTTTTTTGCAGACTTCTCTGATAGCTGCTATGAGTTTTGTCTTGTTCATTGTAGGTCGTATGTTTGTTTTGCATTTTAGTTTTTGCTTTTAGAGGAATAAGGAAAGGTAAAGATTTAAGGTTTAGGGTATAATAATCAAATTGCAATGGCTGCTGAAAATTTGCTTTATGAAATTTTCCAGTTTTCAAACGTTTGTCATAGTATTTTTTTATGGATTCAGTGTCCTCTGAGGAAATATTACAAGCCCTCACCATGTTCTGCCATCATCTGTTTTATATTATTCCAGACACTTCTGAAGGATGCTCTGTATATTGGGCTGAGGCAAGAACGTGTTACTGGTGAAGTGTATGATGAGTTCATTGATGAATTCATGAAAGCTGTTGTGAAGAGATACTCCCAAAACACACTTATTCAGGTAGCAAACACGCAGTGATTTTGTAGTTTATATGCTCTGGTACTCTTAAAACTAACATTTTTTTCCCTTCATATTTAGTTTGAAGATTTTGGTAATCACAATGCTTTCCGATTCTTGGACAAGTACTGTGAGGAGTACTGCACCTTCAATGACGACATTCAAGGTACTGCAAGTGTAGCTGTGGCTGGTTTGATGGCATCTAAACGTATCACCAACAGAAAACTCTCTGACAATAAGTATGTCTTCCTTGGAGCAGGAGAGGTAAAACACTGCACATGTTGTCGATGCTATGAGAAACTTGATAAGAGTAAATATAATACTGATCCAATTTTAATTTTAGGCAGCTATTGGTATTGCTGATCTTACTGTGAAGGGCATGATGGCAGAAGGGTGTTCAGAGCAGGAGGCTAGGGACAAAATCTGGATGGTTGACATTGATGGCCTTCTAGCCAAAGACAGACCAGAGGGGCATCTTGAAGGTAGCATATATTGTTATTGATTATTTTCTGTTGATTTGTTGCCTCTGGTGTTTCAATTTACCTACTTTAAAAACCCTTTCTTGTAGGTCACAAGGTAAATTATGCGAAGGATCACAAACCAACCCACAGCTTCATTGACATTGTCAATGAGGTAAAGCCAAGTGTTCTCATTGGTAAGTCTTTTTTGTTTTTTCTCACACGTTCTCTCTTTAAAAAATATTTGGTAGGTTGCATTGTTCAATAAACTCTGTTATTGATGATGTCAGGTGCTTCGGCTTGCGCTGGTGCATTTACACCCGAGGTGCTGAAGCAAATGGGAGCATTTAATGAGCGTCCCATTATATTTGCTTTAAGTAACCCAACTAGCAAAGCTGAGTGCACCGCTGAACAGGCTTATCAGTACACTGAAGTAAGTATTAAAAGAGCTTTCTTCCCAACTTTTATTATTAATCTTACCATTAATCTTACCATTCTCACCAATCTTTACCATTAATCTTATAAAAAGGAAAGTTAACATTCATGATTTTTAATTTGTTTTTACCTGTTTTAGGGCCGTTGTATATTTTCCAGTGGTTCCCCCTTCCCTCCTGTTGAATATGGAGGTAAAACCTTCACTCCCGGTCAAGGAAACAATGCGTATATATTCCCTGGAGTTGCTTTGGGTGTTATTGCGACTGGAATGCACCACATTCCGGATGACATATTCCTTATATCAAGTCAGGTTGGTTTAGAAATAACTTAACTTTTGTCTTTAAATTAATTATAATGAGCCTCTTTATAAATTATAAATTTTATCCAGGTCTTAGCAGACTCGGTGGCTCAAGCAGATCTGGATAGGGGAAGCCTTTACCCACCTTTGGGTGACATCAGAGAGGTGTCTGTCAGGATTGCTACCAAAGTAGCCAACTATGCCTACAAGAAAGGTTATTTGGTTTTGATGCTTGTGTTTTAAACTGAAGTAAAATGGTGTGAATTAAATTTTTTAATCCAAAATTTCCTTTTTAGGGCTGGCGTCTTTGTATCCAGAGCCAAAAGACATGGAAGCATTCATCAGGTCAACTCAGTATGATTACTATTATGACTCACCACTGCCTGCAACATATCCTTGGCCCAAAGAAGTTGAAGATCATGTTCCAATTGGAGATCTCTCAGACAAGGAACTTATGTACTAAATAAATGCTTGAGAATATTTCTCTTTAACATAAATCCTTTTTTATTTATTTATTTGAGGAAAGGTTCTTGTAAAACTTATTTGGAAATGTCAATATTGTAGATGTAGGTGTCAGGTTTATTTACTCTTGACACACAGCATGTAACTCACCGCTTAAAGCTATCTGTTAGAGGCATGGAAACCTTTTAATTGAAATTTGCTTAAGAATTATACATTTTGGTTTAAGATAATCCTTGACCCTGTCCTTTTTGCAGTGTTGTGAATTAAGTTATGTTGGGAATGTTGTCCTTGCCTGTCACTAGCCGTACAGTATGTCCTAGTAATTTCTTTGACATTTCAAACTTGCATTTGGTAAGTATTAATCATTCAAAAGATGGTTGAGCGTGCTTGGCTTTTTTTCTCTAGTGGTTAAGTGCTTGGACTTCCAAGAAAAAGCAATGTGATCCCTATTTTTAAATTTACGTTGTCATAATGAATACACGCAAAGCTGTATCCCATCTTTGAGTGTCCCCAGTGAACAAGATTCCTTACCTTTTTGTGCTTTGTAAATTTTTGGGGTTTTAACCAAAGACCTAGTTTAATTTTGAGGAAGTTGTTACATTCAATAATTCTTTATTGATATCTGTGATTGGAAGGAGTGGACTGAATACAATTCACACTATCTTCGTCATTGCTGTACTGTTAATTAATTCTACCTGTACATTATATGAACCAACATTGGACTGCAGATTCTTTCTTTCACTTTGTGAGTTCCAAACCTTTATAGTTTGCTTCTTTTATTCAGTATTATTGTGACTTGTTAGCTACTTTCAGTTTAATCTATTTCTGTCAACAGTATTGTTTCAGTTTTGTAAGGGAGAATGAAATATCTGGTGTTATGCAGTTCACTTGAAAGTTGATTTTATTTTCAATTATTTGTTTTTTTGGTTTAGAATATTGGCTATGAAAATTGTAACTGTAATTGAAATACAAGCACCTTGATGATCTTTAACCAGCAGTTTTGGGCAAGCCACAAGATCAAAACAGAAAACAAACATATCTTATGAACAAGGCGCGACTATGATTTTACCTCACACACTCAGCCACGGAATCAGGTTGGCCTCTTCACCGCAGTAGAACTCAACTAGCGCCACGGGTGACGCCTTTTTACTCGATGCTAATGTGTCAAAGACCATTGGACAGGCATCTGATTTGCCTATGTTTTTTGCAGAATATGACAGCGGCATACGCCAGGAAAGGTTGAAATAAAAATTACACCCAAATAATATGTTTGAAATTATTATTCTGCATCAAATTAAAATCATACTAACAGTATATTTTCACTCACAAATAATTTGTGACTTTTAGGAGGAAAAACAGTCAAACAAACAAGACAAACTAGTGACAAAAGAAAAGTCAGGTTTAGACTGAAGCCTGGCCAATGAATGAGGGTAGTAATTAAAAATCAATGTGAGAAAACAGAAAACATTGACTGACTAGCAAAACACAGGACCAGAAGGTGCAGAACACAGCCTGAAATAAAAAAAAGCCTTAATACACAAAAACCCAGTACATCATCAAGTTTTGAGGGCAGAGAACTACCAGGCGAGTGAGAAAAGAGTGCTCTTTTCTAATAGATCAATCAATCGGACATTGGAAAGTTTCTTTGGAGAAAATTGAAACAACTGCTAAAGGAGATAGGAGAAAAATAAATAAATAAAAAAAATAGAGGATCATCCTCAATTTTGAATCTGCTCTGTGTGAGCAAGAAAACAATACCTCAAAATGGAAAAATTGTTTCAGAGTCATTGATCAACCTACAGGCACTCTATCATTTCCTTATCAAACTTTGAATTGTACTAGGACAGAATCAACAGAATGTGTTGCAAAAACTCGGTTTAACAATTGGAGTGCTGTGTGAGGCCAATATCAGAATTGGTTAGGCCGGCAAATGGAGCTATTTTATACCTCTAAGCCACATGAGCTCACATGCATTAACACACACTTAGTCCTCAGTGTTATTAGTCTCAGCAGCAAGTGCAACATTAAGACGAGGCAAATAACCCTGAGGCCAGTACACATCCATGACGACCCAACCTTTCAACATTTCTTGTTTCTAATGAGTTGCTTTACAATATAACTAAAACTATACACTGCCTTAGCAGGACATTCACACACTATATAAAAACATTTTATATACACAATAAAAATATTTCACTCAACATATGTATTTACAAGAGATTTCTATTTTTTTGAATAAGCTCGCAGTCACAGGTATCTATTTGGGTACTTACATTATTATTTTTTAAATGTTAATATCTAGACAACATGAAACAAATCATACTTTCATTTTACTCGAAACAAGTTTGAATTCATTCACATTACTCCTAAACCTATCACATTGGACGATAAGATAACAAAAACTTTCTAGTCAAAACCCTGCCAATCCGATGTTTCACCTTCATCTTCCAACTCCACACCGACGCTATGGATGCCATTGCGTAATAGGGGTGTCCCTTTTCCTCTGCCTGCATAAAGGTACAGAAAGGTAAAGTTAAGGTTTCAACAGAATGGCAACATACACTGGACAACAGAAAGCAGGGATGAGCCAACTTACCTAAAACTCTTGCGTGGAATGTTAATTTTAAACTGATGTTGTGGTTGTCATCCGGGGACAACAGAAGGAGGTCCTCCTTCATTAGCTTCTCTTTGTGAGCAAAGTATTCTACGTTTAAATGCCAGCGGCCATCCTCACATTGACTCATGGATAATAAATGACAGTTTGGATTGAAAACTGCAGTAGCAGAACCGACATCAGAGGAAGGTCCTTGAAGAGGGCCGTTGGGACACATGGCAGGCGAAAGGAAAATGCTTATATGATAACGATGACCCACTTGCAAAAAGCCAAGATGTATGGCAAGAGAGTCATCGTCCAACTGTTGAATTATCACATTGTTGTCCTTAGGAGCAACAAGAGCCTCTCCTCCGAATCGTACATGGTGGTCTGTAACAAACAATGCATATACAATCAATAAAATTATCGAATTGGCACCGTACTGGTGTGTTTCTTGATGCCATATCAACAAGTGAATATGTTGAAGGAGCAAATTTTCTCTTTAAAGCAAGAAAACCACGATTGTATCAATATAAGATGAATGAAACAGTGCACACTTAAGACATCAAACATGTCATTGCCAAAAAAAATTAGAGCTCAAAACATTTGAGACAACTAGGCATTTTCTTAATATTTTTTAAAAATATGTTTTTAATTTGTTCATTGGAAATGTCAAAGAGGCAGATTAACAGATGAATTGACAGATTGACAAGTGAAGAACACACAAAACTTAGGTTATTTACTGACCTGGCTTCATCCCCATTTGCTGAAACACGGCGCTGAGCTCTGCTTCAGTCGATAACTTAGCATTACTACTGTTCTTTACGGACCACATAAAACTAAACTAAAAATAAGCTACGAAACCAATCAACGAAAAGATTTAACAACTTCGCAATATATACACATTTAAAAACAGTGTCACATATCGTTTTTCTCAGTTTTGAGAAGATGAACCGGATGTGGGTATGGGTAGTCCAAAGCTGTTTGAGCACCACACTAAAAACTTTTGTTTTTGTTTTGAAGTTTTAGAAAGGGAGTGATTGACGGTGAGCGATCTTAACTAGGAGGGAAGATGCTTTTGCATGTTTGTGACGAGCGTTCGCTCTGTCTCGCTTACGAAATGACTTGATGCGCTGAACACGAGACTTTGATGGATAGGACATCCTGGACTGTTTCCGCTTGGTGCGGGACCGGGACGTGATTTTAAATTGTAACCTGTGTGTGACTGCACTATCAAGCGCTAATAGTCTTATCTATTTTGTTGCGGTTAGGCGCGGCGAATGAAATGATTGTTTGATTCAGATTTTTATTATAACCAAAGGAAGAATCGGACAAAACAAAGGTAAGCAGTAGTCATTATTTACTCTTAAATTAACACATGTGGAAGAACCACATACAGATTATTCATGGGGAATAAATACATTGCATACCAAGTACATACAAAATAAAACAAAAAAAATGTATTAAATAAAATAATTTTGTACAGTTTTTTTTAAACACCTAACTAAACATTATTACAATTTGCGTTTCTGTGTGCTAATGTACAGAACATTGTTCCCACGGATAAAGGCATCACCGTACTTATTCTTCAGCTGCCCGTTGACGTATTCTTCAGTTTGTTCCAGCGCTATGTTCATGTATCCATCTAAACATGCTAAAACACCTGGAACAATTTTACATGTTATAATTTAAAATAAAAGCTCTCAAGAAAGAAATATAGATTTATAATGACACAATACCTCGGTAATCAACGCCACTGTTGAGTTTGACAACAACAGGACGACCATGAATCTGCTGGATGAAGCTGGTTAAAGCCTCTTTACGACTTGGTGGGGCAGACGACATGTTGAACTGAAACAAATCAATGATACGGATAACAGACTTGGTGATCAATAATAATTCGATGCACTGCTGCGTCTACAAAGATGCAAAAACAAAATTTCTAATATGTGCAAGGCGTTAAAACAAGATCATTTTCCGACAGATTTGCCCTTTGATAGGAAAAAGCAAAACCATATTATGATAAAATGTAAGATAATCATTTAATACATCAAACGCGGGGTGTCAGAAATAGGTTAGAACACGGATGCCGGGTAAGGAACAAACATCGTAAGAAGGCATTCATAATAAGTAAAGTACCTGAATTGAACTGCCGGTCAAACACTGATCAGCCTTATTTGTAGTTGAACACCGGGGCAAATATTATTCCAAGTAGCTAAGCTGAACCCAGGGATATAGGGATGTAAATAAATACTGTTTGAGTGCGGGCTGCGGGGAGATTTGGTGGAGTATGACGTCACACGCAGGAGTAAATCCCGAACCCGAACGATTCCGAAGACTCACGAACGAGTCGAGCGCTAATCTGAATCCTGATCCTGTGGGAGAAGGGCGGGGAGAGGGAGGGAGGGAAGGCAAGGGGAGACGGGACGGAAGGGCGGGATAGGAAGGAGGGAGGAAGAGGATCCTTTCTTCGACCGTAGCCATCCTTGTCTTGTACAAATCCTGCGCTGGATCTCGGTTTCTCCAGGTAAATTTAAAGGCTCCTAGTTTTGTCTGTTGTAGTGTTTGGATTTGGAGGCCTCGCTTTGCGTGAAGGAGCGTTTCATTCATTCGAGTCCGCCTCGGCTCGGCTCGGTTTTTCTACCGCGGCTGCAATGCCGCGTCTCGGCTTGGCTCGGCTTGTCCTGCTCGACTCGGCAATATCGATCGCTTTGAACCCGAAGCCGTCCACCCCAAGCAGAGCTTGTCAACTGCTCTTTTTCTAGAGATGGTAAAACTTTGTAAGTTTACAATCAAAAATTCAGCTGGTCTTAAGAGCTTAAGGCTCAGTCCTTTTTGAAATGATCTGTACTTTAAATGGATAGATTTGATGTATGGTTGGCACGTTCATTGTTTCCATTCATTGTGTTGATTGTGCTCAAACAATTCTGTTTTTCTAATTATTTTTATGCTTTATTTTGGCGAAAATACACTCTGTTATACCTAGGATCTCATGTTTTTCTTGCAGGTTGCTGTGCTGCGGGACATAAATCATGCAGGCAGAAACTGAGGCCAACAAGTTCGTTTCAAATATACCACAACCTGCATCGTCACAGTCCCACTCAGATGTGGATAGTTTAAAAAATATTGCCCTGATATCAGAGCGTCAGCATGGTCACAGACCACTGGAAATTCATCAAGCAGAAAATTCAGCTCTACTCCCTGGTCAAGAAACCTCTAGCCAACTAGTACTGCATGATATGGCTGCACAAGAACCACAAGAACACTTACACCAGATCGAATCTTCTGAAGTGATTTCCAGCATGAACACTGGGCAAGGTCATACAGAAGCTGCAGCTTCTGTGTCAGACATGCAAAATTCTGAAACAATAGTCGACATTGCTGCACCTGAAGTGAGGACACGAATTCGATCTCAAGAGGACGATATTGTTGTACTGCAATCTACTTTCACGCAAACTTATCCTCTACCAGATGAACCCAAAAAGGTAGAGAATTGTTTAAGAATTTTTCTGGACATTTCATTTTTCTTTCATATTGAAGTGCTGAAATAATCTTATATCTTTTTCTGATTGCCCGTAGGTGTGCCATTCAGTGGCCGTTCAAACCCAATTTAATAACACTGAATTTGAAGCCCAGACCTACAGTGTTATCACTGGAGATGGGAGTGTTTCTTATGATAGTGATGGAGTGCGTGTGCTTCGAGCTATTGGGACATGGTAATGTAGCAGAAATAATATCTAATATAAATATGTGCTATTTGTTGAAAATTCCTAAATACAATTAAAATTTTCAGGACCCCTAATTACCCAGGAAACGAACAGTTTGTTGATCAGAACTCTGAGGTTTACATGAATGGGTCCGGCACTGTTTCAAGTCCAGATAATTCAATGATTCAACACTCGGTTAGTAGCTCACCAAACAGCGCTTCAAACTGTCTACCAACTGCAACAGTCAACAGAGAAATGAGTTCTGACCATTCTCAGCATTCTCTTCAAGATGACCAAGAAAATGCAAATAAACAGCCAACAGGTGACAAGGCATTTGTGTGTCCTGTATGCAGTAAAGGATTGGCTCGTAAAGACAAGCTTGTTATTCATATGCGGATACACACAGGTAACTTATTTTTTCTTCTTTAAAGCATTATCTAACTGATGTATACTTATTATTGATGTGTCACTTTTACTTTTGAAGGCGAGAAACCATATGTGTGTGAAGTCTGCGAGCGGGCGTTTGCAAGGAGAGACAAACTAGTAATGCACATGAATAAATTAAAACATCTGACACCATCAAATATTGCTCCTCTTGGCAAAAGGCATCATCACTCAGGAGCAGGGATGACGGGATTGCCAGAAAAACGTCTTGACATGAAGCTGGAGGTAACTAGAATATATTTTAATGCCCCTTGCTCTTATACGGACAGGTGAATATTTCTTTTCTACTTTTTAGTCTCAAGAAATGGGATCACCCTCTTCATCTGTGGATATTCAACCGGCAACTTTGGTGCAAGTTGTTCATGAACAACCAACAATGACCTGGAATTGTGAACTTTGTGGACGAATCTGTATCAGTCGAGAGGAGTGGACAGCCCATGCACGCTCACATCTGGATGGAGATACAGGTTTTGCGACTACCTCTATTAGTTCCAGCCTCTCAGTACTTACACCTCTGTCATCATATCAGTATGCTGCAGCACCTCCTGAAAGACAGATGTGTGTTGTCTGCCGACAAGACTTCCCCAACAAAACTGAACTTATAATGCATTTACGCTCTCATTTTGTTGGAAAACCGGAGCTTTTGGCAAACCATGTGGCAAGTCTAACTGACTCAACAGGAGTTTGTTCATAAGTTTCCCCCTGAATAGCAGGAACATTCCTTTCAAGATGTTTTGTCAAAGTACAAATGTACTTGCTGTCTTAATCTTGTAGGTACAATAATTTCTTTAAGACTAAAGAATTTCTTTTGAGATTTGTATAAGTGACCTCCCTCCTTCTTGTAAGATTTTGTTTTGCTGCTATGTAAATTGAGCTCTCTATTTTGGATGTTTTGATCAAAAATGTTAAAACCAATTTTAAACATTTTATGTTGTTGCTTTTTGTGTTGTTGAATGTGCCATGAAACAAATTTACTAGTCTTATCATGTCATATCATTGCTTATTTTATCCCTCTTAGTTTTGTGAACCAAGATTATGGAATGTATTTTTATGAAGTATTTTGAAGAATTTTGTTTGATGTAATTTCGATAAAACCATTATTTGGCATTTGCAAAAAATGTTATTTTCTACTAGAAAGATATTTAACTGATGGTTGTAGATTTATAACTTTTACATTGATACATTTTCTAGCTTGTACCTGCCTCTCTGATCTGATCACTTTTGAGTTATGCAGGTAGACATGTTGTTTACCTCCTTTTGACCTATCCATTAAGGCAAAGAAACAGAACCTTCCCAAATTTACTGCCCTAGCTTTTTAATTTTGGAAGAATCTTAAAATTTTGATCAGCATGGCTTCCTTTTAATTATTATTAACTTTTTTGGTATTATTTTGTTACATTGACATGTGATCTCTCCATGCTAGATGCTTTACTCTTAAACCTAGAACTTAATCATAATACAAGCTGAATTAAGCTTAACTTTAGATTAGATTTATACATTTGGATCAAGGTATCTCTTGTTCATATGGGTCATGTGACGAACAAAGCAGCTCTCATAAATGGTCTTGATTTGGACCGGGAACTTGCTGTATGCATATGTATTTGGTTTTCCCCTGTAGTTTTCCATGTTTTGTATAATTTGTGGTTGAGTTCTGTCTGTGGTAACCCAATCTGACAAAAAAGACAAAAGAACATTTAAAATTGCTGTGGGATCAATGTATTTTTTATGTTTTCATTGGGCTAACATTGTATCTTATTGACTCACAATTTTTTTTAAGATGCCCATTTATATATCTTTTAATTATTTGTTCATGTTTGCAGGTATGTTTTTGTAATTTGATAAGAATAGTGGTTTAATTTTACTTTTTGTTTGCACGAGCCACTAATCTATCTACTAACCCTCTGAAGAATGTTGTTACTTATTTTAAACTTGTGTAATGAACAGTGCACTTGGTCCCTTCTTTTAACCGGTAACCAGTAGAGCTTTTTTTTCGTGGTTACTGTACTATTGTAAGTTTGTAGTTACCATCAACTTTTTTGTACCGTTAAGATGGGACTCCACCAATGGAGAACGAAGTGGAACCTTGTCTCCACATTGTCTACGAGAATGTTAAGTTTCTAACATAATTTGTGTTGCTCTCATTTACTGTTTTCTCCCCCTTTTTAATTTTTTACGTTGTGTGCGCTCTTCAGCCGAACATGATAGTAGCCAGCCATTTCAGTGTGACACTGTGTGTGCCTTTGAATGATGGTGCACTTTAGATACCTGCCCATCAGCTGAATCGTCTACTTTGTAAATAAAAGTATTAGCCATGGAAAGTACACTCTCTTTTTTCCCAATTCTGTTGAACATTTTTCCTCTGTAAAACAACTCAAACTCGTTGCACATTCATCCCAACTCATCCCTCCGAAACCCCTGTGAGGTAGGCATCTTATTCGGCTCGGGGGCTCGGGGCCGCCCACCAACAGCTGACTGCTGCTGCGAGCGCTCTCTAGCGCCGGCATCTGCTACTCACGCGGTAGGTTTGTTGTTGTTTTCCTCTGATGTGCAGAAGCTAAATTTGGGGCGAAGACACGGGGAAGGTGCGGGGACGGAGGAGCACAAATTCCTACAAAATGTAGGCTTTATGTAACTGGATTGGCGATGTATCTGATTTTTCAAAAAATAGCGATGCAATGCAGCACTTGACCGGCTAGACTTAACCTCTTACTTTCTGAGTGTAAAGAACTTTTTTCGGTTTCCAGTTCAGTATAGCTTTGATAGCAGAAGGCAGCAGCAAAGGGCGTGGCGCTGTATTAAAATTGAGCACCATATCGGGATATAAAAAGACAATACCGTTGCTCTGTAAATTATGGGAGCGGTGCAGTATAGGGGATGCAATCATGATGCAATGCACTGCAAATCTCATTAAACTGTAAAATATGGGATTCATTTATTGAATGCAGCAATCTTTGATGAGGGACATCATAGTTGTTTTGTAATCCTCAAGTTCTTTCTTATCAGGAAAGATGTTTTAATGTGCTACTATTTCTATTTGCGCAGAAATCATCGCAACTTTTAAGATAAGGCCAGAGTCCAAATTCCAACTGTGAGTATATTGCTAATTAACGTTCATCAGAGTCTTTGTCGCTAATATTGAATAGAATTCCCATAGGTTTGCCATGTACTTAGTGTTTTTCAAGCATAATTCTTTTTTTGTACCAAGCTTACTAGTCTGAATCCTTATTGTGCAGGATGCTGATCAGAATGCGTTGGTTAATATTGCCAGTTATTGGGCTACAGAGTTTGGCCTTAGCTGAAAATATGTGCAACAGATGCCTCCTTTTTTTGCATCATTCAAACTTTAATTATCTGTATCGCTTTCTCTACACCATGCAACAAGCGACAGCTTAGATTTTTTCGAGTGGAAACAGTGTGCAGTGTGCTTATTCTACCTTCCTCTGGCCTGCTGCTAACATCGGCGACCCGTGGCGCTACCTCACGGACCCGCGGGAACTACTGATATGGCGGGAGATTTTGAACTTGGAACATATCAAAAAAGGTTTGGGAAGTGAATTTTGATCTGTATGACCTTAATTCTAATGAAGATGCTTCCCATGATAAAATATTGTGGCCTAAAGTGGATCCCAGGCACATAATTGACTACTTTTTGGTGTTCCCAAGAGCTCGGGTTGGGGTGGTCCGACTAAAGCTTTCTCGACATCTTTTTTTTTTTAGACCTACTGCTTTTTCTTGAATTATTGATTGACTTCTTTTGTATGTTTTGTGATCACTGATCATGTTAACCTACTGTTTCATTAGAACTGCAATGTTACTTCTTCTTGAACAATTGAGTGAAAAACTTATTTATGCAGCTTTTTTCTTTCACTTTTTGTACGCAAATGAAGAGAAAAATTGATGTTTCTCACCTTCGTTCAAAGTTTGTATTAATTAAATCTTAATATACACTAACAAATTGCTCACTTGCTCGCCCTTATCACAGTTTATAAAGAAATCGACACTACAGCCATAATTCTCTCTTAACTGTGATAGTAAGGGCGAGCATGTGAACAATTTGTTAGTATATATTAAGATTTAATAAAAACAATTTCTAAATTAAGGTGGGGAATATTAGTTTTTCACTTCATTTGCGCACAAAAAGTCAAAGAAAAAAGCTGCATAAGTAAGTTTTTCACTCAATTGTTCAAGAAGAAGTTACATTGAAGTTCTAATGAAACATTAGGTTAACATGATCAGTGATCACAAAACAAAGAAATAGTCAATCAATAATTAAAGAAAAAAAATTAGGTCTAAAATAAAAGATGTCGAGAAAGCTTTAGTCGGACCACCCCAACCCGAGCTCTTGGGAACACCAAAAAGTAGTCAATCATGTGCCTGGGATCCACTTTAGGCCACAATATTTTATCATGGGAAGCATCTTCATTAGAATTAAGATCATACGGATCAAAATTTACTTCCCAAACCTTTTTTGATATGTTCCAAGTTCAAAACCTCCCGCCATATCAGTAGTTCCCGCGGGTCCGTGGCGCAGCGCTGTATGTTGTCCCCTGAATGTAGGCAATTTCAAGGAGCCGAGGAACCAAGAATACAAAAGTTCCACTGTACGCCATCAAGGCCTTAGCAATTTTGTCACAACTATCTAAATATCTTCTATTTTGTCGGCATGGAAAAATTAAATGATTTTGAACAACTTACTTTGTCTTAGATGGATTGCTTTCTTTCGTGTGAGCATTTTTCAAACCAACATCAGCGGCACAGAATATTGCCCTGCGGACACTGCACCAGTATGGTATTGACACATCAGATTCACTTTGGAATAGGTCTGAAATGCCGCTGTGTAAGTAGAATTTTTGTAACCGAGCACATGTGTAGATGTGGTTTTGAAGTAGATGTATGAGTAGAAATTTGTTTTCTGGTCCTTAGTATTGTTGTCTTAGTGTGCCTGCAAGATTACTACAGATTTGATAAAAGCAGCTCTGTTTGAGACAGTTGTTCAGCTTAAGTCGATTTTTACTATTTCAACTATTATCTTTTTTCTGTGCAAAAAACTAATGATGTTTTGGATTTTTTAAAATTTTAGTACTTTGTGGCATGTGGGTTGGTGGCGGTGTCGATCTGTCTTGGGTTCGAGTACCGACCGATTTTTTTTCCGTTTTATCAAACCAATTTTTCCCCCACCAGGCTGACGGCGTTGTGGTTCTCCGGCCCCTCCGGCCATGTCGTCGGGCCAGATCGACGAGGCCATCGCGGAGGTGGCCAGCGCCGTGGCACGCCTGCAGCAGCGCCTTCAGCAAGACGACGCCAAGGCGTGTCTGGCGGACACCATCACCTGCGCGATGCAGTCCGACTCCCAGTCCGAGGACCGCCGCTGCAAATGTGACAAGATTGATGGCGTCGTGGACGGCGACTCGAGCGAGGTGCACCTCGTTGTGCGGTATTTGTTAACCGTCTTGAGAAAGCAAGGCATGCTCAACCAGGTAAATCCGTGGTTTAAAAAAAATGGTTTGCTATTCAGATGGTATTTAAACACCCGGTTGTTACCGTTGTTGTGGTGTCGCAGGTGTGCAGCGTGTGTACACCATCACAGGAGACGGTGATCCCCGTGTGCAAAGAGTCCGAGGAGCTGTCTGGCGACGAGGAGGAGGGTGGTGTGGGCCAGGAGCAGGAAGCAGAGGCCGCGTTGGTGTTGGAGCAACCGAACGTGGAGGAGGCAGAGGAAGAGGAGGAGTCCTTGGAGGACGAGGAGGAGGAAGAGGAAGAGGATGACACACAACGCTTGGATGTTCACAACGCTTTTCTCGAGCTCCAACGCAGAGTCACCTTAGACCTAAGCTCGCTCAGCAAGCATGGGCCAGATGATTTGGCTCAGGCGAAAGTGTCTCTGCTGGCGCCACATATGCTAGAGCCGGTAAGTATTTATCCTGGATTGGCTCGAGTATGACAGAAAAAGTTTCAAAAAGTAATTGTGTTTCTCTTTCATTTTAGGTGCGAAAATTGATCCACCTGTACTGTGATGTGGATAGTGCATGGGTGCTGCAGTTGCTTTATGACTTGGCCCCACAACTGGAGGAGCTTCAAATGTCCAGGCCTTCCAAAGCACACCTGGAGGTGATGGAGACTATGCCACAACTGAGTCGCCTTGATATAGAATACTATAATGGAAGTAGTCAGAGCTATGGAAGCCAACAGGACTCCAAGACAGCAAGCAACAACTATGTTTTTAAGAGGCTTCCAGCCAGGCACTGTGGTCTCCGGTTTCTGAGGGTGAGCAAAGCTAATTTTTTATTGTATTTAACAGCAACGGCACATCAATCATCCAAACGATTTTAAAATAATTCTTTCAGGTGGGGCACATGCCGAAAAAAAGTACTCTGTCCTTGATAAGAACCCACCGGAAGACTCTGGAAGAGCTGTGGATGTCCGTCGGCTCGGGGAGTTCCCCAGGCAGCACGGGGATGTCGGAGGGCGACGGTTGGCCCGAAAACTGCCTCGACCTCCACGAGAAGCTGGGCCGGTACGCGGCCGAAGGGCCACTCAAGCGTCTCGTGCTGTTCCGATGGCTGTACGCGCACGACGGGACTGCCTGCCTCGTCCAGATCCACGCCCTCCGGCAGGCGCTGCCAGGGGTCGACGTGCTCTGCCGTGAATGCGACAAAATTTCCTTTAGTGACTTTTGAATGGCCTTTGTACAGTAGTTCAATTAAACAAATGAATTAGATCAATTGCTTGTACCATTCCTATTTTTAATATTTTCAAGAATGACAGAGCTCTTTTGTGATTTCGCTCCTTGAATGGCTTGTTGCCACTCAATGCACAGTCTAGTGTAAAATCAATTTTATACCAATTTTTATACTCTTGTTTTTTTTGTTTTATTTTTTTGTTCGTTAATGCAGAGAATTATTTTTTGTTTTGTTTTACCTTTTTGCTGTTTTAATAAAACAGCAGTGGAGAATCTTGTAACTTGATTTGTTTTAAAATAATTATTGTACTAGTTAAATTTTATAGTGAATTGTATACGTTTTACGGGTTGGGGTTATTGCTAATAACAACTTTTTGATGTGTATTTGGAGGTTTTAATGAGTCAGCGACACATAAAGTTTTCTTGTTGTGTTGTTTTGTTCCTGTAAAGTATTTTAGTTTTCTAGTCCAATCAAGAGGTAGAATGTGGTTTTACCTACAGTACATCACATTTTGTATTACACCATGATTTTCTGTTTGCTTACCAGTTTTCTTTAATTATTTGTTGTTTTTTTCTTGTTATGTTTCTATTTATGTAACCTTTCATCAGGCAGTCTGATACTAATTCGAAATGACTACAATCCATATAATGGACGGACGGACGGTGAGAGACACTTTGCTCGGTTCAAACTTGAATCAAGCCAAGCTGTTTCAATGTGCTAACTGAACTGATTTTGTAATAAAATGAAAAATAAAATAAGGTCTTATGAAGACTAATTAACCCTTTAGAAAATCCGGGTCTCTTACTCTTACCAACGCGAATGCTCCAACGCGGACTGTCGATACTCCGTGCCCCGGCAGCCCTGGGCCATGCCTGGGCAGTCCCTTGCAGGCGCGGGGTATCGCCGCCTGCCCGCCTATTCCGCAAACAACCTTCCGCTCAATGGAGTAGATGCGCCCTTGAAAAAGGTGACAGCCTCCACGTGAGAAGGCAAGCGCAGCTTGGCTTTGCTAAGTAAAAGAAAGCATTCAAACCCCCTGTTCGTTTCCCAACGGCGCAACTACTGGAATTTGAAAAAGGAAATGGTAACAAAAAAATGGGTGAGATTTAGCAAGCCTTTTTCCTGAAAAGGGATTGACTTTTGCAGTGTGGGGTCCGTGGTGTCACCCCGGCGCCGACGCCCCCAGGCCGCCCCTAGGCCGGCGTGTCGTCCGGGCCGTCCCGCTGCCAGTGCCGGCACACTGCCTTGTGACGCGACACGGATGCGTCCAGAGTCGTGGAACTAATTCGAAGTTGTCGGAAGGCAACATTTGTCATACTGGTCCCCAGCGGGCCATGATCGCCCGACCAACTTATGCCAACTCCAGCCCACTAGATCACCGCCACCCCCGCCGCCGCCGCCCCGCGCCCCGCCCCTCGGCCTTCCCCGAGCTCCTCCTGCTTCCCGGCGTGTCCGCCAGAGAGCGTCGGCCGTCGGGGTAAAAAGTTGGGCCCGCGAAGAAGAGAGGGCGCCATGCAAAGCACTGCACTGCATGCAGCTCGACGATGCAAGTGCGCAGTTTAAAATGGACTTTGGGCTCCTTTGCTCACCCCCACACCATCATCTTTTACCCTGCTCTGCCGCCTCTTTGTGGCGGTCAAGTGGAGTTTCCTCCCTTTCTGGTAAGTGTCCTTCCTTTCAACCACAACACGCTCACACACACGCACACACACACACACACACACACACACACACACACACACACACACACAGAGGGAATGACCGCGCGGTGGAAACAACGCCAAGGTGCCATAAAAGAAGTAAGGGTGAACCAAGGACCAAGGGCGATTGCCGGCCACTCAACAACTTACTTCCTGCACAGAGACTTTGACCCTCCAAAAAATAAAACGAGAGAGAGAGAGAGAGAGAGAGAGAGAGAGAGAGAGAGAGAGAGAGAGAGAGAGAGAGAAGAGGAAGAAGACAAGAGACAGATATTTGGGGCCAGTGCCGAGCGCGACGCCAGCGTCGGCACGCTCGAGTTGACTACCCTTTTAGCTGGTACATTTTGGAAATCTTTACCTACTTTTGGACTTTCTCCCAAAATCGCCACCTATCGACCTGCAGCCTTCCCCCGGCGCCCATCTTTCTCTGCGCTTCGCCTCACGGCCCCGGAGGAGCGTCGCCTTTTTCGCGAAACAGTGCACACACGCGTGCCCCGGTGGGGCCGCAGGGCCGCAGTAGTGGGTGCCCTGCCACGGCGCCACGCCCCCCTGGGGGCCTCGGCGCGGCCTCGCGGGGCCTCGGCCCAATGGCAGGCCGCGCCCAGGCAGGCCGAGGCCCCGAGGGGGGCTCCAGGGCGTATCGATCTCCCTGGGGACGGCGACTGGGCGCAACGCGGAGCAGCGCAGCGCGGAGAAGGCAGCACTGGGTGCCCGTGGTGCGCGCTGCTCGCGCTGCCAGCCAATCTGGGCGCGGCGCTGCGCGGCGCAGCGGGGCGCCGACCCTGGCGGACCCTCAGGGGGCGTGGCGACGTCTCTGGGGAGTCGTGGGAGGAGCCACGGCCTCGGCCCTCGGCCACGGCGCGGACACGGGGTGCTTCCAGGTTACTCCAGGTGAGGCGGCCCCTGCCTCGGCCCTCGGCCGCCACCGGTCAACGGGGTGGACACAGCGGCAAAAGTAACGCACGGAGCACGAAACGTCGTGGACCATTCACAGCAAGGTCCGCTCATCGGAGATTTCGCCCTTAGCATGTTCCCCATTCCGCGTCCGAACCAGTCTGAACTTCAAGAGCTGGATGCGAATCTGAATCTGGTTCCGGGCTAATCACTCTGTGGGTTGGTTGAGGCGCATTGCGGTCAACAAAACCAAGACAACAGCAAACATGGCCCCAGTTTGACGACCGAAACGACCCTCGGAATCGGTCTGCAGAGCTTGGCCTTGGCGCCATTTCTTGGCCGTGTAGGTCCGCGTTGATGAGCAGTGCGGGGCGGGGCGGGGCGGCCCGCTCGGCCACTCTGATCGGATTATGATACTTCTTCCTTCGAGTCGCCTCGCCTCGCCCTCCCACTCCCCGTCTCAGTTATTTACGCCGTCCTAATTCCATTCCGCTCCATTATATTTCGGTGATGGGAATCGGGAAGCCGACCGGCCTGCCTGCCTGCCTGGCTGGCTGCCTGGCTGGCTGCCTGCCTGCCTGCCTGCCTGGCTGCCGGGGGTAGGTGCGGCAAGGACACGGGGCGGGGGCGACCCAGGCAGGACCTAGGCGCCAGGGAGGGGGCGTGTTCCTTTGTTTCCGAAGCTCCATCCGCGAAATTGGTCGAGGCTGGTCGGTGCGGGGGAAAGGGGGCAGCGCGCGTGTGCGGGAAAAGCAGTACAGTACCGGTGGGCTTCACTGCAGACTCTCGCTTGCTCATACAGTGTTCCGAAGAAAGGGTTGTTCCGTCTCTCTCGCACCCCTACGGACTCCCCATGAGTGCGACAGAGACAGAGTTCGGAATGAGCTGCAGCTAATTGGCTTCCGGCCGGACTGCATCCTCCTTCCTCCTTCCGGGGGAGCGGCCGTCCATGCCGCCCGGATGATGCGGATGAACCGGGCAGCGCCACGCCGCGCCACGCCACTCCACTCCACGCCGCGCCACGCCTCGCCACGCCACACCACACCACGCCACGGCACACCACACCACGCCACGCCACGCCGCGCCACGCCTCGCCACGCCACACCACACCACGCCACGGCACACCACACCACGCCACGCCACGCCGCGCCACGCCTCGCCACGCCACACCACACCACGCCACGGCACACCACACCACGCCACTCCACTCCACGCCGCGCCACGCCGCGCCACGCCACTCCACGCCACGCCGCGCCACGCCTCGCCACGCCACACCACACCACGCCACGGCACACCACACCACGCCACGCCACGCCGCGCCACGCCTCGCCACGCCACACCACACCACGCCACGGCACACCACACCACGCCACGGCACACCACACCACGCCACGCCACGCCGCGCCACGCCGCGCCTCGCCGCGCCCACGTGGATCGGCCAGGCCGGATCAACCCCCGCGACCGGCAATCATCCGAGCGGACTCCATTGGGCTTCACCGCGGCGTGGCGCGGCGTGGCGCGGCGGCCCCTTCTGCCTCGCCGCGCAAGACGACGCTCCAGGCCGGTTCCGCGAAGAGCAGCCCATCTCTGTCGCACTCACACTGAGAATGAAAGAGTTATAATCATGACTAAAATTTTGGGCGAGGAATTCTTTATCACCCAAAGTGAGGAAGGTTTCCGCTCACCCAAATTTGGGTCATAATACTTATGGAGCCATATAGGTAGCTGATACACCCCAAATTTGGGCGAGGAAGCCTTCGACCGGGCGAGGAAACATTTCTCGCCCAAATTTGGGTGATAAAGTACACCTCGCCCAAAATTGGGTACTATTGATCATGACTTTTTCATTCTCAGTGTCATGGGCGTTCCGCAGGGGGTGCGAGAGAGAAAGAGCGAAAAATCGCTCGGCAGGTTCAGTTATCGGTCATCGAGGTGATTTTTCCTCGTCCGTCGTCCAACGCACGTTGAGGGGTTTGGGTTCCAGGTCCAGGCCGTGGGCGGCTGATTCTGAGGGATTCTGCTGAAGCATAGAGCTTCGTAGCTCTGTCCCTCGCGCACCCGTGTGGAACGCCCCATGAGTGAGAGACTCTTGGTGGCGTGGGCAGCGGGGCCGCATGGCAAAGTGGATCAACAGTGGTCGCCCCCTGGACTCACCCTGGAGGCACCTTGACCTTGGTTGGTTCCATCATCCTGGCGGAGATCCAGTGGAGTAGTGGTCTTCGCTTGAAGCCAAGCGTAGAAACCACTTCGTTCGAAGAAAGGCGGTGAAAGGACTTCCAGTGTGGGCGCGGTGGATCCGCACGAATTAGATGGGTAGAGGCGGCACAAAATCGTTTTCCATGTGGGTCACCACCACACTGAATGCAGCGCCCCTGTGCCGCCTGCCTGCCTGCCTGCCCGCCTGTCGCCAAACGCAGCCCCGGGGAGCGCTCAGCAGACTGATTCCGAGAGTCGTTTTCGTCGCTCCGTCTCTCTCGCACCTGTGACGGACGCCCCATGAGTGCGAGAGAGACAGAGCGACGAACGCGACTCTCGGCATCAGTCTGCAGTGATTGCAGCGACTCCGTCAGCCATTTTGTCGTGGCGGCGGCGCGACCGTGATTGAGGCGCTCCCTGGAGGGAGACTACCGAACTACCGACACGTCTTCGCCTCCGCCTTCGCCGCTCATCGACGCCGAGCCGCCGGGACTCGGGTTCGAGTACCGGCCGCGGCCGCGCGCGCTTTCCGTCTGACGACAAGGAGGCCAAGGCCGCCAAGGTTACAAGCGAGGCACCTGCCCCTGGCGGCTAGCTCGGCCTGCCTGCCTGCCCGCCGTCCGAGTGTCTACCAGTGTCTACCCAGCCCGGCCGCCCGAGCTGCCAGCCAGCAGCCCCAGCACAGTGGGCCTGGAAACCGGTGGAGCGGCCAAAACTCTAGACGCGTTTTGAGCTCCAGAGCCGATAAATGGGCCTCGAACCAAACGTGTGACCCCACCATGGATTGCTCTCCGAACGAGGAATCCATTGGTGGGGTCACACGTTCGATTCGAGTCCCATTTAGCGACTCTGGAGCTCAAAACGCGTCTAGAGTTTTGGCCGCTCCACCGGTCCTCTGGCCCACTGTGCCCAGCCAGCAGCCGCCCGGTCAGCGAGAAGGCGGTGTGGCGGCCGAGGCGGCGCAGATAAGCAATTTTGGTGCCTCGTGATTGGTGGAAGCC